AAATTGGTTTATTCGAAAATGGCTTGGGCTGGGCTTGGCTTGAAACGGACATTTGTTTATTCGAAAATGGCAATTCCGGATGGCCAACAGGAACAAGCAATTTCTATTTATCACTTTCTTGAGGGGTTTAGGGTTTAGGGTTTAGGGCTTATGGGGGTTTCCGAAAATAGCGGGATCCTAATCTGGCACCCTACATCGTAGGATTCTTATTTTAAGGACCTGAAAAGAAGGTGCCCCCTTATTTTCGGAAGCTCCCATATCGGAGCCTTTGAGTAATCATCAGGAGCCCTCGAATACATCTCAAACTGAAGGATTTCATTTCACCCCTGAAGATCAGGTAACTGGATTCAGGAACTCCTATACAGGCACAAGGCACATCCCGTGCAGGTGCTCCCTCATTCTGAGCATCCATGAGATCGTTTGTAACTAATCGACTAATAGCTGCATGTCTGTTCGCATGGCAAGATTGGTGCCCATTCTAGGCAGCCCAACACGAACTCGCCCTAAACCCTTCATCCTAAACCATAAACCGACCACAAAGAGCGCCAAATTTCAGCAGCTTTTGCAAGTAAGCTGCCCGTCCGGTCTCTAAGGTAGACCTGCATTGGCCAAGGCTGTTTCATAAGGGCGCCCCTAGTCCCAGTACCCATCGGGTTCCTTGAAGTCTTTGAAGCCTATAAGGGACCATAAGGGCTCATAGGGTTTAGGGTCTACTGATATTTGGGCCCCAAAAGTATCTACTATTCACATTACTCAATTAGACCTTTCGGATTGAGCAGAAAACCCAACGCCTTCGTTGTTACAGTCACAGTTTGCATACAGATAGACATAGCAGCAGTTGTGCGACGCAAATGTGATGATCATGGCAACTGCAGCAGGAGAAGGATGGGGAGAACGAGGCATCAGCAGCGGGCAGCAACCACGATGATCACCTGCTGTGATCCCGGCATCGCGGCCACTTATAGTACGCAAGTGCTGGTGACATGCAAGCTCCCATCAACAGAACAGTTAGATACTTCATAGACTGCCTCAACCTCATCCTGAAAGCGTACAACATGTAGCTTTAATCGTCCTAGTTGGGTCTAAACGCTGAACCCTAAACGCTAAACCGTACATCATCGAGGTCTAATCGTCCTATTGGGAGTAACTCAGGTTGGTGCATCGCAGTCAGACCATGCTTGCAACAGGTCCGAGGCTGACGTGGTACGAGAACCAGTAGAAAGGCTTCGGGATTCAGCAAGTATATCATCAATAATAACAAGAACAAAAATTTAATATGTTTATTGTCAATAGTGAAAACAAATAATACCAGTAATTAACTAATAATACTCAGTAAGGCCGCAGAATTAATTATTGCCCTGTTAAGCGTTATGCGTTTTGGTGTAAGATTTAGTGTCATCAGCTCAGACCGCCAGCCAGTGTTCAGGAGTAGAGCACGTCTCTTCTGGGGTGTTGTTAAAGGAACCCTGCATAGGAAAGAACCACGAATCTTTTCGACAGTTGAAAAGCGAATCGGGGATCGCGAGCCCTACAAACAGTGGAACAGGGTGGTCGCGGACCCTCCTTGTCGAAATTGTCCCCAACAGCAATCTTCTGGATACCCTCAAACCACAGGCCCAAAGCCTCGCCCTAGGCACCAAATCCTATAAAGCCGCGACCCGAATAAGTTAAAGCCCAAGGCCTAACCCCAAACCTTAACCCGAAGTCGGGCCTCTCTAGGAATGTATAACGGTGTGCCGGCTCGTCCACAGCCATTTTTCCTTCAGGGTGGGGCAGGATTCATGGATGCTGGTAACCCAAACCCACACGGCCACAGCTTCCGGTCGCTGCTTCGCCGATTCTGCCTTTAGTGACGTAAGTGCTTCAGGCAGGATGCCTACCTTCGGATGCTGTGGGCTCTGAGGGAACGTTGAGGCCTTTTCAATGGTTTCGGGTTGTAGCCGCTCAAAATCATCAGGGTCAGAAATATGAAACACTGAGAAGCCAATCCAACGACAATGCAACTGACCTTCAGAGTCCTCTTCAGGAGTACGCTTAATGCCTGTGTAGATACACCAATTATCATCAATTTCGACACCATGGCACTCAGAATCACTGGCACCAAGAACACACGTGTAACGATTGGCAAACAGCACGAATCGTGCTACCGTTGCTGCAGTGGCAAGGGTGGTGACGTTCGGTGGCGGTGGTTGCGATGGCAGGGGAAATGGTGATTGCGTTAGCTGGTGCGCTACTTGGACGTCGACTTCTTGCGGATTGAGAGCTGTGGCGTCTCTGTCCAAGGTAAGAAAACACTCCTTATGCCCTAAACCCCCAAACCAGTCGCATGCCTGCAATGACCTGCAAGAGCTTTACCTCCGAGTCTCCAGTCCCGAAATCACACTAAACCCTGAACCCAAAACCCCAAACCCTAAACCCTGGAACCACAACCTTAAACCCTAAAACTTATACCCTAAACCTTAAGCCTTGACTCCACCATCGGGGCGTTGTAGGGGGCATGTGGGTTTCACAATTCAGGGTTTAAGGTTTAGGGTTTAGGGTTTAGAAGTTTAAGGTTTAGGATGTAAGGTTCACGATTCAGGGCTTAAGGTTTGGGGGCTCAGTGTTTAGGGTTTCGGGTTTAGGATGTAGGGTTCACGGTTCAGGGTTTTAGGTTCAGGGCTTAAGGTTTGGGGTTTAGGGTTTAGGCCTTAGGATGCAGGGTTCAACCCTTAAAGCCCTAAGCCCTAAACCCACGGTTCGAGGTTTAGGGTTTAGGGTTTAAGGAACCCGTAAAGCCCGTATAGGTAAACCCTAAACCCTAACACCCTAAACCCTAAACCCTGAACCCTAAACCCTAAACCCAAACCCCTGAACCCTGAACCCTAACCCCCCTAAACCCTAACCCCTGAACCCTAAACCCTAACCCCCCTAAACCCAAACCCCTGAACCCTAAACCCTAAACCCGAACCCCCCTAAACCCAAACCCCTAAACCCAAACCCCCCTAAACCCTAACCCCCCTAAACCCTAACCCTGTGACCCGAATCCCTAAACCCGAATCCCTAAACCCTAATCCCTAAACCCTAATCCCTAAACCCTAATCCCTAAACCCTAATCCCTAATCCCTAATCCCTAAA